TAATGTTTTTATAGCAACACCTTTATCCTCATATTTGGCCCATAACTGTCCGTGGCCTTTCCCATGGTAAAAGTGCATTAAGCAGTGTACTACAAGGATGAACAAAGTAGGCACTGATAAGCACAACACTACACACTTCAACAGTGAGGTGTCAATTAGAAAATGTTCACGACAAGCTGAAACTGAGGCCTTTTGTGATATGGGCTGGCTATGATGAACACAAAGCAGTTGCTGAGCAGGCATTGTAGCCCTCTCCATCAAGCAATGAGGCAACCATGGATTAATCTGGGTAGTTACACTCAAGTGTTTTTTCTGCATGGGTACCATTTGATGAGAGTCACTTAAACAGCCCAGGCAGCTTCCTCATGGTAGCTCAAGATGGAGTCGAGAGGAGCAGTTATAGTGTAACATCATCCCACTGCACTGAGAAAGTTTTGTTTGGTAATGGGCTTATCCCTGTACAGCTTAGTTCAGGACACAAATATCTGGTATCCTTTGAAAAAATCCTTAGTTAAGCTTAGATACACATGCGAAGCACAAGTGTATGTAAGCTTAACTATGGAGTGGGGTATGTTGTTCTGAAGTGCAGTAAGAAAACACAAAGATCCACCGGCCAGCGGTGACTGAGCACATCTGGGACAAAAGCAGAAAAAGGCTGCAAGGTCGCCTTCAGACTCCCTGGTATAAACTGCGTACAGGCACGGACAGGGCTTAAATATCACCAACATGTCTCTGTTGTTGGAGCCAACAGCAAGGATGTCTTACAGCATATCTCTGCTGAGCAGCCTCATATCCTGGTCTTCAGTTGTTCTTACGAGGGGCTCACAGAGCGATCACTGAGTCCCAAAGAGTACAAAAGGGTCTGGAGACAGGTCAGAGTCTCTAGGCTTTTTATAAAACACCAGAGAGGGGGATGCTGGCCTTCCACCTGCTGCCAAAGGAGGCACAGGACCAGCTGGTAGAGATGCAGAGCTTTTTAGACCATGTAGTATTGGCATCAGAAACACCGGTAGGCTCTGCCACAGAGAACAGAGTCCCTGTGGCTGTTTATGGCTACACAACAGGAGGGAGAGGTTGTGCCCAGAATGCATGAAGGCAAAGGTCTGCATAGCTGCAGCATCTTCCATGGAACACTGAGCTCCAAGGTCTCCTACTTCCCTCTTAGTATCACATCTTTTCAACACGGAGACAAGACCTGTGCTGAAGATTCCCTCAGGATCTGTCATCCTCTTCAGACAAGTCTGTCACACCGAACCATCTCACCTGTATGAACCGAGCGCTGTGGTGACCTTTCTTGACTCTCAGGGCTGCTAATTGGACTCCCATGTGCTTGTTGTAGTTTGCCATCTACAAGACTGACTGGTTTTTCCACATTTTCTAGCTGAGCAGGAACTTACATTTATAAGTTGAAGAACAGATTATGACTTTAAAGGTTGTAAAAGGGAGATATATTCCACAAAGTATTTTCCAGAAGAAAAAAAAAATCTGCTAAATACCCTCCTTTGGAAGCAAAAAATACTTAATGTTCAATCAAACTTTCATTACTGACATTTCTCTCTCAAATTGCATCTTACACTGAGCAGTCTGAAGCAGTATGAGACACTCTTCTCTGACGTCCTGAATCATTTCACTGATTTACAGGATAAAAACCGAGCAGCACGGCCATCATCTCTTCTGCTCAAAAGTCAGAAAGCCATTATCAATTTTAATCAGAAACGCCATGATTTCTTTTTCTCTCTTTTTTCCCCTACCAATGCACACAACTCCCTACATGACAAACAAGGAGCGTGATGGGACGACACACTGTCTGGAGCTCAGTCAATAATGTATTTACAACACTGAGGTGATAAGGGAAGGTTCTCAGAAGTCCAATACTAGGAAAGGCATGTTTAAGCCTGATGCTGTGTAAAACACTTCAACCACACAGAAGACTGTGCCTTCTTGCCCTCAACTACTGCTGCCATCCTTCAGCTGATATCAAGATCACCCTGGGCTTAACTGAGATCCACTTCAGCTTCACACAATTTGGGTCTGTGACACACATTTCAAAAACAATAAAGTGACTAAAAAGAGGTAGAGGGACAAAGAGGAGAAGGCTGTGCTTTTTTTTAAATAAGACAAAATATTCACTGTTCACTAGAAAGATTTCTAGTTACCTTTGTTGAAAAATCATAAGATGTCATTGGTAAAAAGTGGAGATACCCTGAGCCGTTCAGTATCAGGGCTGGTCTGGAGATAATTTAATGGACCATATTGAACAAAATAACAGGTCAAAATCCATTCCTTTCATTACTGTACCCTTCTGTGTTTTCTTCTTCTCAGACACTAGTGTTGCAGCTCCTCTCCTTTAAAAAACAGCCAGGTTCCACTGTGCACGGTCTTTGACATCTCATTAAAAATATTGAACAATATTTTGTTCAGTCGTCACAGTAAAATATAAGTATGGACAGGGTTGCCCTAAGGAAATCTGTAATCAAAGTGGTGCATGTTTATGTCACCAGGGATTGTTGTTTTGTTGATTTGTCGGCTTGGGTGACAACTGCTGGCAAGTACATGATCTGTACATCTACCCAACATTATGCAGAGCAAAATATCTAACAAGAGAGCAACAAATCTTGGTACCATTTGCCACATTGCCATAAAAACCCATAGTCACTATGAGTTTTATATTTTTAACCCCAATGCTGGAAAGGGAAAAAAAGGAAAAGATGTCAACACTGCAGCCTCAGGGAGTTGGTTGCAGGCCTTAAACATTTAGTCATGTCTTCAGATTTTTAAATTGCTTAAATTGTTTTCAGGATTTCAAGACTATAAATATACAAAAACTTGATCAAAGCAGTATACAGGTCAAACTGCCATGAACATGCAAACCCTTGTATGACATAACTACCACAGTGAGACCTACATTCAGACTGCGGGGGGAAAAAAACATTGAAACTACAAGCATGACAAACTCAGGTTAAAATATCAGCAGCACTATTTCTTTCTAACTGAAACTAATGTCTAAACATAATGTTGCTATGGCCACATCAGCACATGCACAACAGAGAGACTATGTTGATGCAACATCTTGCAACGGCAACAATTATCTCTGTCTAGACACTGACATGACAGCAAGAGCACAAAGACAAAGTACAGCAGTATTAAGTCTATCATTAAAGATGTTATGGTATGCAGTGCAAAAGAAAAAAACTGGGCAAGATTGATGAGAGATGAATGATTCTTATATTTTACAAGCCAACTTCAATTCCATTGTATTTTATGAATGATGATGATCACGTCATGTCACACCAGAAAGAACACAGGGTCCAAACCACAGGGGGGCTACTTAAAATAAGACAGAACACATGGAGGAGAGCAGAGCGGCTCTTGACAGGTTCTGAAAGCCTGTCTGCAAATAACATTATTGTTCTTAATAATAAGACTGAATTGAACACTGCGGGCTGTTGGAGACGGCCTTGTCAGACAAATATCCTTACTAAAAACCACTCTGAAGAAATTCAATAAAACAATCATCCTGCTCATTCTGTTCCAATCTACCTTGTCGCCGTTTTAACCTACAAAGCAATAATTTCGTCAAGTTTATGTTTTGCTTCTCTGTTGCCAAATGATGAATGGTAATACCAATAACCCGTTCATAAAGCCTCCAAATTTACTGTTCTGAACAACTGAGGTGGTGGAAGAAAAATACGGTGAACAGGATATACTGTGTTTACGTTTCTGTCATGATCAATAATGAATGTTTGTAGGAAATCCAGAGTTAAGTAATTCTGGAAATACAAAGATGAAAGCATTGCAGTTGTAAAAAAAAAAAAAAAAAAAAAAAAAAAAAAAAAAAAAAAAAAAAAAAAAAAACATAAGATCGCTGGCTAACCTACGGACCTGGCTTCATGATCCAGGCCCCTGATGAGGAGAGAGACCTTCCATGACACCAGCGTTCACCACTGAACCAGTATGTAAGTATCATATTGTTAACAATATGATAAAATTGAGTTGCTGTTATATATGACTAGTCACTTTAATAGTATTAAAAATGAGAAATATAGAGGTATGAAAATCTGAATTTCCCAGGAGCGCCTCCTGACAGACTGCTGGTGGGGATGATTGAGCTCGAGTCCACGGAAAGCAGTCTCATTACACTGGTAATCTGAGTGGTTGACAGTCACACTCGTCAGTATGATCTAAATATAAAGACAGGGTGGAAATGATGGGTTCTGCCACAGGAATCTAAAGTGCAAGTTGATATAATGAAAATCCTACTGTCAATTTATTCGAGCATTCAGTTCTGTAAGTCACTCGAGCCCATTCATTTCTCCTTACAAATGCTTCCCCGTTCAGTCACTCATCTCTGCACTCGGCCTGATGTAGAGGTCTCTTGGTGTGCATTAGACCATGGAGGAGTCATAAAAATTAACTCCTAAGAACTGACCTGATCCATTGACCGTGCAACCTTGAAACCTGTGTGCGCGCGCACACACACACACACACGCTGGGTTGTCAATTGCCTTAAAAGTGGTGGTCATGCTCGAGAGCACATGGATTTCATTCACCCCACAGCTAAATGGAACCAACACGCTTGCCCACACACGTTTCATTAAAGTGCCCTGGTAGACTTAGTTTGGCACAGTATGAGTCAGGGGAGTTAGAGGACCTGACTGAGATGAAACACACACACATACAGAGCCAACACTGAGGAAGGTCTACATTTATTTTCACGACCCCCCCCCCCCCAACTGTTTCTGTCCATCCTAATCCCTTCAACAAATAAAGGAGTTTTAAATCAGCCACAGGTTCTACAACTTTTCCATTGGACGCTGCCAGAATCACACCTGGGTCCAATTGTGTTTGAAAAACTGTCAGATATGGGAAGCGTTTGTGTGAATCAATCTGCAGTGTCATACGGGCTAGGCTCCTGCCCTTGGGGTTATTAAATTGGTTCCTTTGTGCCAGACGAATAAATCCATCACAGAAAACAGTTGGAGGGAAGTTTTGGTGCCTACCTGTAGATTGTTTCTCTCCAGTCTCATCTCCAGGATATTGTTCTGCTCCTCCAAACGCTGCCGCTCTGCCTCTAAATCTTCAATTTTTTGTCTGAAAAAATGCATGCACACACACTCACTCGCTTGTAATTAATATATACCGTGCAAAATAGCCCCTACGCATTTTGTTGACTCCATAGGTTAATCCTTGAGGTATGGCGCTGCTCACAGACACGCATTTGAGGTCTCTGTGAGTTAATCCACCCCAGGTATAGACATGAATCTTTCATGTGCCAGGTTTTGACTTGGTGGTCTTTGCAACAGGGTGTGTGGATGTGATGTGTGTGCTTAACTACCTGAGTATGCTGACCTCTTCTTTGGTGGCTAAAGAGCTGCTGTCAGCAGCGGAGGCCTGCTGCTTCTTTAGAGCCTCCATCTCCAGCTCCACCTGGGACACACAGAAAAGAAAATGGGCCTGTTAAACAAGCGTCGGCCCACCTTTGGCCATCTGCCTGGCAGAAACCTTTTTGCCTGCAGATAAATCCTGAGGACTCTCTTCCAGTATGCTGCTATCTTTTCCAGTCAGATATCCAGACAAACAGATATATCCTTTATACACCATTACACCATACACTGACTCATTTTCCATTTCCATTTCATAGTGCCCTGGCTTTTTTCCCCCCCTAGTCCTTGTTTTTAGTCCATCTGTGTCTTAGTTAGTTTCTCTCTGATCTCGCTCTCCTCTCTGCAATTATCCCTCATTTCCATTTGCACACCCATTTTCCTCTGTCTGACTGCATCTGTCTGTCTCTCAGCTCATCCTCACTCCCAGTCTTCCCAAGACGAATAAGTAATTACTGCTATACCAGACAGGTGGATTTCACACGTCAATACTCATTGCCATGGCTATGTTGATGTCTCCCTGGCAACAAGGAGCCATGAAAAGAGGAGAGATTGTAGAACGAGTGAAGACACAAACACAGATTCACAGAGAATGTAGAAGAGTCTAGGTCACGCCTGCCGACTCTTTACTTTATCCTGGTTTTATATCATATTTTAAAACAAGTCAACTTTTTTTTTTTTTTTCTATAACTTTTCTGTAATTTACAGAACCACTAATTAAGAAATATTCATACAGCAAACTTGACAGATGAAATGACCCATTTAATCTGCCAAAATTCACATTAGACTGTTTGTTACTCACAAGCTACACTATCTTGTCACTGCAACCTTGATGATTAAAAAATAAAAATAAAACAAAAAAGGTTCCAGTGTTAGTAGTATGCATCCTCTCACCTGTCAATTTGTGCCCCTTAAGACGAGGGAGAGCATTCAACACAAGAAAACTAAATGTACTTGTACTGTAAATACCTATCCAGCTGCTAAATAAGACTGCCCCTTTGAAAAGATCGGCAGGACCACGGGTGTAAAAATGATGTTGGTCTGCATTAGTCACAGAGGTATTAAAGCGTCTTTGACTCACAGGAGGGCACAGCACACCTGCTGAGATAACAGTCACAACTAAAAAGGTACTTGAGAATGCTAACTTCAGTAGAAGTGATAGAAATAGAAGCAAAAGAAGAGTTAACATTGGCATTCATTTCCACCAGTCTAGACGGGTTGATGCAGAACATTTCATATGGACTGGTAAATAAACAGCTGTTAATGCTAATGTTGCCTCTGTAGCAAAAGCGTACTTATAAAGCACCTTTGAGTGCTAATGGCTGAGGGTAGAATGCCTGTAAAGGGTTGGCTAATCATTAAATACTAATTAAGGTTTAGGGTTAGGGTTAGGGTTAATGTTTTTACATTTAAATATTTTGCATTGTTGTTTCTTGTTTTTTTTTTTTGTTCAGTTACTGGTGGAGTATGAATGGAATTTAACTAGGGTTAGAAAACGATTTCTATTTGTCATTATATATCAGACATAGACATGCATAGAAGTTTGTATGTAAATGTATACTGACCGTTTGTAGCTGCAGTTTGAGCGTCCCTGTCTCTTCTTGTGCTTTGGTCAGCTGGGACTGAGTTGACAAACAAGAAGTCATTAGAGACACAAAATACGATAAAAAATGACTTGTCTTTTTCCTTCCAATTTACAGCATTGACAGAAACAGAGCAGGTGCACAGAGCAGAAGCCGGCACGACCATATATCAACCAAGGTGTGCACTTCATTCAATTTTGAAACACTGACCTTCCCGCCTTCTTTTCATTCCAGTGTTGCTCACAATGCCCTTGTGTACTACAAGAGCAGTTTTATCAGTTTTAACTTGCCCACTAATTAAGCAAACTGATTGTGTGGACAGGGAGCAGCTGAGCAGCACACATTTGCAACGCTATTAGCTATGTGCAAAGTACCAGTTAACAACATGAACACTACACTAGCGAGCAACCTAGGAGTGTAAATCATCAGTACTTTATTTTCAATTAGTGCTGACCAATTAATCTTATTTTCATCGTCATCGCAATATGAACATGTGCAATAAACACATCGCAAAACACTGACTGAGACGCGATGAATTAGAAAAAATAATTTTATTTACACACGCCATGCAGTCACAGGGTTTTTAGGGCGCAGCGCCTGACAGTCTTTGTGAACGCAAAATGCGTCCTGGGCCACATTGATGGACCAACTACTCTACTGACGTCCTCTGACACAGTTTCATTGGCCCTGTTCAGACCTGATATTAACATCTGTCTCGGGTGATCCGATCACAAGTGGACAGCTCTCAGTTCGTCAGTTCACACCTGGCTTTAAAATGCATCTCCACATGCGTCTCGATTGACCACTTGTGATCGGATCTCACTTCCCCGCTATATATGCAAATAAACAGGTATGTTTTTAGCCAATCGACAGATTGTTTTGTTTTGTTTTTTTGGGGCTTTTCTATGCCTTTATTAGAGTAGCAGTGAGAGAGAGACAGGAAAGTGTGGGGTGAGAGAGAGAGAGAGAGAATGACATGCAACAAAGGGCTGTGGGTCAGGCCGCTGTGGTAAGGACTGAGTCCAAATGGTACGTGCTCTACCAGGTGAGCCACCGAGGCCCCCACCCCACAGGTCCATTGTTAAAGTGCACCAAAAGCAAGTCAATCCCCATAGACTCCCATTTCAAAAAGGTCCAACTTTACAGCAGAAATAAACATGTTTACAGCCTGGTACAAAAACTGCTAAGTTTCTCCTCCATGATAACTGTACAGGGTGGGGGGGGCTTTTTATATAACTCGTTAAAATTTTATTAAGTCTTTAAGTTCTGCACAATTGAGGGCGTGCCACTTTGAGTGACAGACAGGTGAGCGTATGCCTGCCACAAGCCGGCATGCATCGAAGTCTCGGCTCAACACGTGCCCCTCCTCTTTGCCCATTTTTGTATTCGCCAGGAGTTCGTGGGAGTCAGGTACTGCCAAGATGGTGATGATGGAGCAGCCCGCTCTGAGCTTCAAAACCGCTCTTCAGAAACCTATGGGTGACGTCACGGAGGCTACATCCATCTTTATTTACAGTCTATGGAGTGTGTGAGAGTGAGCGAGTGAGAGAGAGCGAGCGGGGCACGGAGGGGGTGTTTGCATATAAAGCGGGGAAGTGAGATCAGATCACAAGTGGTCAATCAAGACGCATGTGGAGACGCATTTTAAAGTCAGGTGTGAACTGACGTAATTAGAGCTGTCCACTTGTGATCGGATCACTGAAGACGCATGTTAATACTAGTGCTGACCGATTAAGCTTATTTTCATCGTCATCGCAATATGAACATGTGCAATAAACACATCGCAAAACACTGACTGAAACACGAATTAGAAAAAATAATTTTATTTACACACGCCATGCATGAAGGATTTTTAATGCGCAGCGCCTGAGCCAATTGAACCGGGAAAAGAAACTCTACCGCGTTTTGGTGTCGGGTTGCAGCCTCTCACACACAGCAGACAGCACAGAGGCGGCAGTGTAGACCAGTGAGGAGTGAACTTTTTACCGGAGCTGACAACAACTACAGTCGTAGCTCTTCATCACACCACCTGTTCAACAAGATTTAAACACGAAGAAAAGCTACATTTTCAACATTTCCATCCACCGTGGATGGTTTTACACGAGCACAGTGCGCTAACATAAAGCTAATAGTGAACTGTTATAAACAAGCTAAATGGAAATCTTTCTGTGTGTAGACTGCAGCTTCATTCGACACAAACCTTTGTAAACTAGCTACAGTCTGAGACAGCAGACCCCCCTCACAGCAACATTACCTGCAGCAGAAGGAGGGGGATGGAAGAGATGACCGATAGTGACCTTTGTCTGTGTTCTGCATTCAGCTTCACTCAGCAAAACTGTGTAAGCACACCTCAATATTTGCTCATTTATTGCAGGTAATATCGTCATTACAAAATTGAACAGTGTCATCCACATTGCAAATTTCCCTCATACCGTGCAGGCCTATATTCAATTAAAAATATAATTGAATCCAAGTTGGTTTTAATAACAATAAACGCAGCTATATGGAGGACAAAGGAGAGGACTATAAATACAGGTTTGGTCCTTGTGTATGTGTGCACACAAACCTCCATCTCCGCATTGTGGTTCTGCGTCTTCTGCAGTATGTCCTCTGCCTCTCTGAGTCGTTTGCTGAGTTGAGGAGAGTACTCGGTAGGCGCCAGCTCGCTGTCATAGGACTCTAGTATAGCCCGCATTCCATCACGCTCCTGTAACACACACACACACACACACACATCTGCATTAACATCACCCTACAAAAATTCTGCTGAATATACATATACACACACACACACACACATTTTAATGCCACAAAGAAAGAAGAAAGTCATGACATTACAGAATTTTTGCCATCGGATGTGTAATGTATGTGAATAAATTGGAAGTTTTAAAGCTCTTTGATGTTTTTCTGATTCCTCTGTGTTACTTATGTATGGCTGTGTGTTAATATGGCAGGCAAATGCCTTTGTAAATGAGGAACAAAGTATCAGGCAGCTGCGCGTTTCACATCCAAGCTGTGACAAGAGAAGCTTAAGGTTGTGGTCATGCTCATTTGCATTTCTCCTCATGTAATAATCAAGTCAGAGGCAAATGTCTTTGTAGACAAAGAATAAAGAATCAATCAAAACATCAAATCAGAGTCACAACAGAGAAATGTCTTTGCAAACAAAGCATATAATATTCTGCTGCTTCATCTCTCTTCTCCGAGGTGTGATGAGATCATTTAAAACTTCACATTTTCCTCCTCTGTAACACTGCAATGCAAGACATGTCCTCGACACTGTTCTCGGTCCAGTAAATCAACACACCAAGCGGTTGTTCCTCTTAGAGAAGAGAGGATCAGAACCTCTTAAAGCCAACATCTTCACAAGTGTCACTCAGGCTGACACGCTGTCTCCAAATAGCTCACGAGTCTCTGTCAGTCTGTGTCTTTCTGCTTGACGTTTGAGTGTTCGTTCTCACACTCAAAAACATGCATGACTTGGAATGGTTCCAAACAAACAAACAAACATCTAAAGGGAGTCAGATGTGTGTGTATGATCGAGGGTGACGGAGCAAGACAAAAGTAAATGGTAGTAGACGCACACCACAGACATCATAATTATGTAAATGCCTCTAAATCGTGTCACATTTTTTCACCATTGGTCCATTTCAGCAACTTCAACTCAACTTTGAAAGACTAATCTGCGTTTACTGTCCATGTGTGAAATAACAAAGTGACAAATACATCTGAAAGCACAGGAAATGTAAATGTTTTTACTCAGTGCGAAGTAAAATATTTATATGACATTAGAACATTTTAACCAGTAATGATTAATTACAACGTTTAATTCATGTGTTACATAGTAAATATGTACCAGTTGCCAGGTAACATGATGAATAAGAAAAATCTCATCTGTTTGAAAAAAAAAAAAAAAAAAAAAACTGGCAAACAGCCCATTTATTAATGGAAATTCACTGTCATTCAAGACAGATAAAATGATGCGTCTCCTCCCCTCCCTTCACTGCACTGGTCCACTCTGTATTATGAAGCTAAGCAGGCGGCATTTTGTGGCAATCAGGCTTTTAATAAACACCTCACAAACAAACCGGCTACTTAGGAGCATCCTTGACTTTTGAAGGTCATTAAAAGCTCAATAGTTTATTATTAACAGGGCTAATTTGGGGAAGCATATGACAATCAGGTTCAAGTCAAGTCATAAGCACTAGCAATAAATACCAGTGCAGATGATCTTTTTACAAGAGCCTAAAAGCACCTTGTAATTCCCAGATATACAATCCTGTGAATAATGGGCTGCTACTGCCCTGTCAGATTAGCTCATAGGTTAGTATCAGAAAACAAGCCATGATTTCCCTAATCAGATTCAGCCTGTGATTAGCCAGATCGAAACCAACATAATCCATTTAAAGATGGCTGAGTCGGGTTCTTTAAAAACACTATATGCAAAATCATACTTAATTCAACTTTATTTGTTTTGGCATTGAAGCGGCTTCACTTGTCATGCAACATTACACAACAGCCTAATACGTATACGCTGTGAGAACCTTTGAAAGGAGACAAGAAAAGGACAACACAACAGGAATGGAACGGAAGAAAAAACAGAAAAGGTACAAACACGTTTAGAGGTCAGTGTGTGTGTGTGTGTGTGTGCGCATGCATGCGTGCGCGTTTGGTACCTATCCTAAACAGCAAGCCCTTTGGCTATTTACTGTCTATTACTGTGCAATGAAATTCACTCAATCTAAATCAAAAATCTGTCGGCTCGTCTCTGATAAAAACTCTCATTTTAAAAAACACACAAACAAACAGGGAGCAGGAGGACAAAGTGATAAAACTATCATTACTGTTTTCATCATCTATTTTTTATTTTTTGTTTTTTTAAATTGCTTTTATGTCAACTGTTTTATCTAGTGCATGAAGATGTGACTGTGCCTCTAATGGATCAGTGAGTCTGTCCCACAAAAGTGTAAAAGAAATAAAACAGGGCAAAAGCAGAATAATGGAGATGCAGCCTTGTGGCAGAGACGGACGGATTCATTTCACTGACGAGGCTGGAAGAACCCGGGGTTCGTGTGTGTGTGTGTGTGTGTGTGTGTGTGTGTGTGTGTGTGTGTGTGTGTGTGTGTGTAATGAAATTTATTCTCCTCTCCACTTCTTTAAGAACTGCTGTCAAGGTGCAGCTGAGCAAGGCAGTTGAAGATATATTTGTATAGGTATAATAATATTTGCAGGATTTGTTGGTTGCTGTCTGTGAACACACCATTCAAAGTTGGCCTCCTCCTCCCGGACTCAACGAGTGGGAGAGGGAGAGTGAACGAAGAGAGGGAGTGGCATTAATGAGAACAAAGCAGTAAAGCAGAGAAGTAAAACATTACTTTCTGATTGTTTCACCGTGCCTAGAACGCAATGTCCCGAACACAGCAAAATAAGAAAATAAAAAAATACAGGCAGAGGGCAGGGTCGCTGCTGATTAACACACCCCTACACACTTCATAAGTGTGGTTCATAAGTGGTGATTGAGAAGATTACTTTTTGTATGAGTTTATACATTGTTGTTGTTTTTTTTATTTTAGGGTAATTTCTGCACAGTATACATTTCATCATCATTGATTTGTGAGCCGGTGTGCGGCTATAGTTATTCCCTCAGGTGGAAGGGGAATCTGTTTATCTGTTTATCTTATTGTTCACACAATTATAGCTGATCAATACAAAATGAATGTATCATATTATAAGACTAAATAGTAAAAACATTGCTTGGTTGCAGCCCTCCCATATCTCTTACATTAGTATGCTGTAGTTTTCTTGTAAATATACAAAATGAACAAAAGAAAAATGATGAAGAAAAGACTACATAAACTTGGGCAGTTGTAGACATGGTTGGGTGAGAGGTATTAATATACTCTTTCAGCTTTAAGGTGCCTTGTTGTAAGTTTTCTCTGCTGCTGAACGTGGTGGTGATTGTCGCTTGACAAAAGCTTCAGCCATCGTTGTCTTTATAATACAGGTGGCTATAATGCGCCCTCTGAGCAGGACTACATCTTCAGGACACATTGAAGGCTACAGTGAGTCGCTATCGCAAAGTGACGACACAAGTTGATGTGGGCCCGGAGCTAGCTGGTTAGCGTGCTAACTTCAGAAGAAGAAAAGACTTGACAGACACAAGGGTTTACATTGGTGTTGCTTTCCACCAATTTTGCGATGCTGAACTCGCAACATTTCTTCTAGACTGGTGAGTAAACAGCTGTTAATGCTAACCTTGGCTATGTAGCAATAGCACAACCTACAAATAGCTCTTTTAATCTAACTTCAGGAATATTTGGCTGGTTACAACCCTTTTTTTTTTTTTTTTTTAGAATAATTAAAAAGGGTATATTTTTAAGAAAGCAGAGCATTGAACAACAATGGATATCGTCTTGCTACATTGTGACTGGATGATAAAAAAAACAATTATTCACACCCTCTGAATTATTGGTAAAGTGCAAATGGTTAAGTGCGTTCTCTGCCAAAACAGTCTGGGGTCAAGTCATATTTCCATCATGCCTTTAGCTCTGCTTAGTTATAGTGGTAGCTAAGTGTGTGTGTGTGTGTGTGTGTGTGTGTGTGTGATTTGTGTACTAAGAGACTGAGTATGTTGACCTAGGGAATTATACACACTGCGAAATCAATATCACAGGGAGGTCTAGTCAGGAACTGCAGAGCAGGGGGAAGCAAGACAGGCAGAGCAGTCACATGACATTCATCGACCAAACAGAGGGAGAGAGGGGTGCAAAGGGGAGATTAGGAATTAGGCCTTTAGATTCAGGTGTCTACTGTGCTCCCTGAGTGTTTGCAGTAAAATTCTGGGAAGGAAGTGTTGTGAAGGTGTGAACAGCTGCTGATGTGTGTTTTTGTGGTCAGGCACCTTTGTTAATAGCAATACTCTCTTCTGTAGTCGACGGACCAGAGCATCCTGCATCTCCCTCTTCTTCTGCTCCTCCAGAGTCTTGCTGCGCTGCTGGGACACCTCTGCACGGAGCTCGGCCTGTAAGCGCTCCACACTCCTCACACTGAGAGATGGATAGGTGGAAAGCAAGAAGGGTGTGTGTGTGTGTAGGTTAATGGCAGGGGAGAGAGAGGGCAGAGAATGACAGAAATGGGCTGATTACTGCTGAATGTTCAGACAATCAGACAAAAGCAATTCATAGTTCACTTAGAGTCATCCTCCCTTACAGACGACGTACCTGACTCACACCAAATAGTTCCCACACAACTGTCCAGAAATTATTTGCAGTGGCATTTTTTGCCAGGTCTGATCAATAGGACAATAATTATACTCGAGGACCATTATTACGCCACAAGCTCCCTTCACCTTCCCCTCCCCCTCCCATCCCCTCCGCCGTTCTGCTGTTTCTAATACTTCATAATGAGCCCAATACGCTCAGCAGAAGAGAGACGCTTGTTAGCTAATGAAAGCTTTCTTAGCAGGACTGAGCTGCAGCATGAATATACCAGAGCATGCGCGCAGCTCTCCTTATAGACATCACCTCTGCCTAAACAGGACAAGTTTAATTAGTGAATACTCACAATCTCCCACACACGCACGCACACGCACGCGCTCGCTCGCTCGCTCGCTCACACACCAGTGGTTACTGTCAGGAGTGCTATCAGAATCAGGACCAGTTTAATTAACTTTGTGACAATTAAGGACTTCTCAGAGATACGCTCTAATAGATACATGGGGGGAAAGAGGCATGCAGGCAGACAGAATGAGAGAAAAAGGTTTGAAGGCAGAGAGAGAGGAGAGGAGAGAGAGAGAGAGAGAGGGAGAGAGAGAGAGAGAGAGAGAGAGAGAGAGAGAGAGAGAGAGAGAGAGAGATTTTGTGTGTGTGTGTGTGTGTGTGTGTGTGTGTGTGTGTGTGTGTGTGTGTGTGTGTGTGTTACCGGCTGTTGAGTGTGTAGTTCTGCTCTTTCAGAGCAATTTCTCTCTGCTGGATCTGAATCACCTCCCTGGACAGATCCTCTGGTTTCCTACAGACAGACATAGCACAGAGCAGTTAGCATACACACGTGTCCACACATATACACACACTCGCATACACACAATAAAAAAAAATAAATAAAAAAAAAATCAATATGACCGAGAAAGCATGAAAGGATAGAGAATAGATGAAAACGGCGGCGTTTACATATTCTTTTGTTACTTGGCCAGTGGGGAGCTGGGAAATAAAACGACATGAGCAGCAGAGGGAGCGATGAGGAGGATAGTGGGCTAAATACTGGTCACGGTTCTACAAAACAAACTCACTCCATGGGAGAGATTGACAGATTACAAAACGCACAAACACACAATGGGAAGGCCACAACGCAGACAGTCATATACTCAGGCAGAAATGCACCACATGACCTCCAAACTCTAAATCCTGTGTGTAACTACTGATCCAAAAGAATTCTGCTGCCACCTAGCAGCTAAAATGACACACCTGAGAAGTGATGCAGCTTGCTCTGTAGCACAACTCAACATGAGGGAGTTAGTTCGACATCCGCTGAAAATAAAGCGTATGATCAAACTTCAGCTTTCACTAGAGACAGTCGGAGGTTACCTGAGAGCTGACCTGGTATTTCGGCAGTCTACCTAGTCATATGACAAATTAGGTGTATGCAGGGGAAAGCGCTGAGCTGTCAAGGTTAACGTCAAGGTTGGAAAACCAGAGTATGCCATGTGAAAGTTGGCTGGCGTGGATTTATCACCACTTCCTTTTAGCTAGGTGGTGCCTCAGGTATGGAAATAATCTCATGACTAAAATATGAGTTCATGAATCATATGATGGAATAACTATGGTACTCAAAGTAGGTAATTCCACATTGCCCTGAGCACAGAGGGATTAGCCTGCTCCCGAGCTAATATGAGAGGCTGTTCTGTCTCTGTTCTGCTGCTTTTCAAGGGCTTTGTTTTTTTTTTTCCGCCGGCCATTCCCTGTTGACGTTGCAAATAACAGGGTCGGTGTATATTATTGGGTGAAATGTCATGAACAGCTCTTAAGGTGCAACCCTTTCAAGAGTAAATGCACTGTCAAGGTAGTGTAAGGCCACTGTGACTCTGGTTTTGAGCACACACTTCAGTGAGTAGAGTGAGGTGACCCAGAGCCTTGTCAAAGTGTTGTGAGTTCAACTTTGGAAAACATATGGATCAAAGGAAGCGACTCAGAAACCTAAACACATCCTCACTCTTACTGCTGTTTGTGTTTTCAGACAAAAAAGGAACTCTTTTTTCCCATTTGAAAGTTTAAGTCCCAAGTCATCTATGAGTGAATCTCATGTTACATACAATGTTAATGCTCTATAAAATATCAATACATCCACCATTGCAACAACCGCACAACATTCGGTAAAGATCAGTTTTTCTTTTGGGGAAAAGGCACAATTACTAAAAAATTTTGAGCTGTAATTTAAGCAATGACCTGAAAAAAAAAAAATCTGAGCAGAAACATTTTCAACAAATAAAAAAATTAAAAAAAAAAAAAAAACTTCTTAACTTGGGGAACTTGAGAGCAATTTAGGAGATACAAAAAGAAAAGCCAGAAACCATTACTGTGGCAGCGTGAAGTCACACACAGACATACACACAAACACCTCAAACTGTTTTTCAAACACACTGTGTTCAAAACTATTCTGAAAAACCAGAAACACACATGTAGCAAACTGTCTTATTCCTGCCTTTAGCTGGTGAGAGCTTTAGTGAAAAGGAAACCCATTCCCAGAAAATCTCCCCACATATTGTCCTTCAATATTGAATATTCAATATTCAACAGCCTATATATAAATATTTTCATTCTGTTTCTGTCAATTTTCAATTGTCATCCACATGGGTAAACACCTAAGCAAACACAATGTTATCAGACTATGAAACAGAGGGAAAGGAAATAAACACCAGCAACCAGCCAACTGCTGGCAAATTCAAGCAGCGGCTGTGAGGCTCGTCTACTCCAACAGGCAGCCACATGGATTGTTGACGGGCGGGGTAAACGTCTGTGCTAAAGTTATTTTCATCTGACAAACGGCGGGGTAAGAAAATCAAATCCAAGGCTGCAGGAGACAAACTCCTCAACCAACAGCACCAGTGTGTTTTACTCCTCATTAACTGCTCCATATTCTTTTCACAACACTCATGACCACCCAGAAATATCTACTGACACAAAAAGCTCCAATATGTCAACTAAAACAAAATAACATATAAAGTATGAGGAGGTTCTAGTTATGAGAAATTACTTACTGGTCAGCAAAGTTAAAAAAAAAAAAAAAAAAATCAATAACACAAATGCACACTAGTGTGCAAAAACACTGTAGCCCAGATATTTCATATTTAATAACAGAACAAGAAACACACTAACAGGCAGTTTTGTTTCAACTTCAACATCAATTCAGACAGTGTTACATTACTGACTATATTATCATTCTGTCACTGAAGTGTCATCCATTTTCTTTTCACTGCAAAGGAACACTGTAGTGATATAAATCCATATACTGTTTCACTTACTTCATCATTCTTAAACCTCCTCATAAAAACTTTCACAATTATATACCTGAAAAGATAATGACAGCTTAACAGCCTTTAAGGTAATCAGTGTCCCACTAATGCACAAATCCGCATTAATACTAATTTTCACACAGCACTGAGTGCAATGAAGGTGAACAGGCTGCTGGTTGAACCGCTCTTACTCCCTGTTTACCTCTGCATCACAGTTCTGTGCCAGGAAAAATAAACATCCTGAACCACCTGAAAATTAATTTGGACATTTAATAAACAGTAAAAAAAAAAACCTTCAAGGACTTTCTAAATGTTGATATGCTACCAGCATTAACCTTTACTTTTGATCAGTATGACCGTCACATATACGGCTGCCCTTCTGCAGCTTTACGGGCAACAGTTTTTTCGTTTTCAGGCAGCCTATGACATGGCAGCCTGAACACCTGACTTTTAGAGAAGGATTTGCGCAGGAAGACAGCCTCATCAGACTTAAATATTCAGAGACATGATGGACAGCCCAACCAAATTATTGTATATCGTTTAGCATTACATCCCTGTAATCCTACCAGGTCTTTTAATAACTAATTTTAAAAAATACCGTCAGGTCCCACAACACATTACATAAGACTAAAATAAAGCCTTGCAAGAGGAAAGATTTCATTTTGTAATTTACAGTGTCTCCACCTTTTTCTTTTTGCTCTGTGGGAACATGTAACACACATTTTACACAAACACGCAGAGTGTAAGACAAATCAAATGTGCTGTGTGGATATGTTCGATTTAACATTCTGTTTACATCACAGCCGGAGTTAATCGTAGAGAAAATGCTGTGTGTGTGTGTGTGTGTGTGTGTGTGTGTATATGTGCATGCATGCATGCACTGGACAAGGGTGCAGTGCTTATAATCTGTCAGATCTGCTCCACTGCTCACAAGGAAACATGCAATCATTCTCTTATTACCAGTTTTGACTGGATGCATTGAGACACACTCAGCGCACACATACGCAGGTATAAAACAAACACACACACCTATACAACGCTGGTGGAATCGATCCACGGTGATGAGACACATTCATTTGGAGTGACCACAGCTCCACCTAGTGGCATGTTTATATTTCATTCATATTTCTTTAAAAAAAATATATATAATAAACACTATGAAAAACACATTTGTTGACCTCTCTGTCTTTCTCTGTCTCACAGTCACACATTCAGACACACCCTCACACAATGTCTGACCTTATGTTAAGTCCAGTAGATTGCCCGAGGTTCTCCCAGGATTGAAGCTTCTCAGCCAGCCTCTAAGGATTGAAGAAACATCAGTTTACATGTTGTAATGTACAGGAAGTAGATCTTATTACAACAGTCAAGTGCAGAGAAAAAAACATATACATATGCAAGTTAAAGCCTGACTAATGTAAGATTTTCAAGGCTGTCACCAATATCAATACATAAAAATAAAAAAATCACAATATATCAGACAATATTCCCAATTTACACTTTACAAATGTTTTCACTAACATTTGTTTTTTTGTAGTGACAAAGATATGTAGTGAGGCGGGATGACAGCACATTGTGAAAACTAGATTTCACTCAAATAAATAAATAAATAAATAAATAAAAATTTAAAAAAACTTGAATTAAGAAAAGTCAGTCAAAAATACAAAAACTGCATCTTAAAACACAATCTACTAATCTGGACAATGTAGGTAAAGGCAGCCAATATTGCCAAAAATGTTGGACCAATATATCGGTCAGGCTCTACTATAAGTACAATGAACCTTTAATCTCTCCATATCATGTTTGTAGTAGTGAAATGTTACAACGAAGCGAACACCGATATGCTACAAGTGATATGCACGATCCAATCTCACAGCCACACACATCTTACCTCTTTCTCCAGTTCCATATTGACCAATTCTTCTTTGGTTTTCTCCATCCTCTCCAGCTTCCTCCTCAGCCCCTCTACCTCCTCTTTCAGCAAACTGCAATTCTCTCTGCTCTCCCTGGACGGAGCAAACAGTGCAAAGACAAAAAAAACACACAAAATTTACTTCAAAAGCTTGAGGTTCAGTGTCTGATGCAGGAAAGGCATACTTGTGATTCCTGGCAACATTCACACTCTGACACGATTTTCGAACTTGATTTCAGATGCAGTGGTATCACAGTGACTGTATCTACTCACACGCAAAAAAGAGATTGTTGTAAATGATAAGGTTAAAGCAGGAAATTGGATGACACATTAAAATGTGTTGCATTAATCTGATTACGCTAAAACCCCAGATTACACAGTTTCTGTCTAAAAAGAGATCAGATGTGCTGAAGTGACAAGGGGCACAGAAGATGTGCCTCTATTTCAGATGAATTACAACCTCTTAGTATTGCAGAGGTTTGCCAGTAGATGTTATCAGTCATGATGGATGGTGTCAATGACATTACCTTCAAACATGGCATTACTTTTCCCACTGTGGTTCTTTTCAATGCACCTTTGTGTCCTATACAAAAACTACCTTAAAACTGCTGCATGTGACCAAGCAGTCAGGTATGTTCAGCAAAAAAATCTATATGCATGAAAAACCTTTTTGCATGTCACATGTCTCTGATATCAGGATACGGTCAACAGTGGGGAACAGAGCAGTTGCTGTATTTCTGCATTTGATCTGTCCTCACTGTTGAGACTGTTTTCACAGTGATTGTATACACACAGTATAAACCTGAACAAACTGTTTCTGGTTTAGAGGATCCAAAAAACAATACAAGCAAAGACACCCATTACCTAATGTTTCCTAGTGTGGTAGTGATGACCGAAAGTTGAAATGCTCAAGTCAAGTCAAACTTTTTCAGCCAAGTGGAATCACACTGGGCTGTCACCTTTAAAAATGCCAGTCTGTCTATTTTACTGAAAAGTGAAACCTTCTGGAAAGCATTAAAAACTTATAAATGGATTTAACCTGAGAAAGGCATTATCATCTCTGAGACGCTTCAACTCTTTCTCCAGATCTGGAACCCTGGCCACCTCTGACTTAACAGTCTTCACAATGGCGATGTCTTGCTCCTGGAAGGCAAGACGCGTCTCCAACTCCTGCCAAGGGTGAAGAGAGAAATCATTTATATAAAAAAATAAATAAAAATAAAAAAAAAATAAAAAAAAAAAAGAAATGACCACAGTACGTGTGTATTCAGCGCATTAGTGCTGTTGCCATTGTTACACATACATGACATCTTTCAACAATTAAATTATTTCAACTGTTCATGAACATGAATGTTTATCATGTATACAGTTGTGTGAGAAAGTGTTTGCCCCCTTCCTGATTTCTTACTTTTTTGCATGTTTGTCACACTTAAAATGTTTCAGATCAAACAAATTTAAATATTAGACAAAGATAACAAGTAAACACAAAATGCAGTTTTAAATTAAGGTTTTTATTAAGGGGAAAAAAAAAAATCCAAACCTACATGGCCCTGTGTGAAAAAGTGATTGCCCCCTAAACCTAATAACTGTTTGGGCCACTCTTAGCAGCAACAACTACAATCAAGCGTTTGCGATAACTGGCAATGAGTCTTTTACAGCGCTGTGGAGGAATTTTGGCCCACTCATCTTTGCAGAATTGTTGTAATTCAGCCACATTGGAGGGTTTTCGAGCATGAACCGCCTTTTTAAGGTCATGCCACAGCATCTCAGTCGGATTCAGGTCGGGACTTTGACTAGGCCACTCCAAAGTAATCATTTTGTTTTTCTTAAGCCTTTCAGAGGTGGACTTGCTGGTGTGTTTTGGATCATTGTCGTGCTGCAGAACCTAAGTGCGCTTCAGCTTGAGGTCACGAACAGATGGCCAGACATTCTCCTTCAGGATTTTTTGGTAGACAGCAGAATTCATGGTTCCATTTACCACAGCAAGTCTTCCAGGTCCTGAAGCAGCAAAACAGCCCAAGACCATCACACTACCACCACCATATTTTACTGTTGGTATGATGTTCCTTTTCTGAAATGCCGTGTTACTTTTACACCAGATGTAATGGGACATACACCTTCCAAAAAGTGCAACTTTTGTCTCATCAGTCCACAGAGTATTTTCCCAAAAGTCTTAGGGATCATCAAGATGTTTTCTGGCAAAACTGAGATGAGCCTTTATGTTCTTTTTGCTCAGCAGTGGTTTTCGTCTTGGAACTCTGCCATGCAGGCCATTTTTGCCCAGTCTCTTTCTTATGGTGGAGTCATGAACACTGACCTTAATTGAGGCAAGTGAGGCCTGCAGTTCTTTGGATGTTGTTCTGGGGTCTTTTGTGATCTCTTGGATGAGTCGTCGCTGCGCTCTTGGGGTAATTTTGGTTGGCCGGCCACTCCTGCTGGAGTCCCAAAGCTTTAGAAATGGCTTTGTAACCTTTTCCAGACTGATAGATCTCAATTACTTTGTTTCTCATTTGTTCCTGAATTTCTTTGGATCGCAGCATGATGTCTCACTTTTGAGGATCTTTTGGTCTACTTCACTTTGTCAGGCAGGTCCTATTTAAGTGATTTCTTGATTGAGAACAGGTGTGGCAGTAATCAGGCCTGGGTGTGGCTAGAGAAATTGAACTCAGCTTTCCAAAGATGTGATAAACCACAGTTAATTTATGTTTTAACAGGGGGGGGGGGGGCAATCACTTTTTCACACAGGATTTGGATTTTTTTTTCCCCTTAATAATAAAAACCTTCATTTAAAAACTGCATTTTGTGTTTACTTGTGTTATCTTTGTCTAATATTTAAATTTGTTTGATGATCTGAAACATTTAAGTGTGACAAACATGCAAAAAAATAAATCAGGAAGGGGTCAAACACTTTTTCACACAACTGTATATACAAACACACAAGTGAACCAACCATGAAAAACTGAGGTGGAAAAAAAACATTTCAACCAACATTGTGCAATGTGGAAATACCTGAAACTGTAGTTCAAATAAGAAATATTGAAATGTCCAAAATTTCAGCTGATAAACTATACATGTGACAGTGAGTGCGTTTATCAACACAACGCTGTCTTGGTTATAGGTTTAAACCCAGTTTTGATAATATTCGGGATATGATGCAGCTCAGAGTGACTTGGGTCGCTGTATATAATATCTCCACATTATCCAGGTTTGTGATCATCCAGGGGGATGAAGGCTTGTAATTTAATTCTCCTCATCCAGCCACTTTTTTTACAAATTGAGTTTGTAGCTTGGTGCTCAGACACTGCTACGTTTACACCTCTGCTGAATTTGGCTTCTCCAACTTCACCTCAGTAATGGGCAATGAGAGCAACAAGGCATGACACGCATCTTACATATTACTGGTGTCCGTCCCTAATCTCATGTCAGCATTTACACCATAAACGCATTGTGTTTCATCGTCATATTTTTGCTTGACTTACTAACTAGTGCGTCTCTTGAATTGTGGACAGAGGCATGCTGTGATCTCCATTTGTGCATGGTGGACAAGTTGGTCCTTCATGCGCAAACTCTGAGATAACACTGTGTAGCTGCAACATACCTTAATCTTGATGATGTGCTCTGAGCAGGAGGTTTGGGCAGCTTGGAGACTTTGGCAAAGCTGAGAGACTTCCTGATACTTCCTGATACAAATCAGACAGAAGTGTGTGGTCAGCATTTGTCTTATGCAGTACAGCTCACTGGACATTAGCATGAAATAGGGCTATGTAAGTGGTAGTCTCCTGTACCTGCGTTGTAAATCGAGCTGTTCCTGCAGTTCCTGGTTTTCCAGGGTTTGAGTAGAAATTGTCGAGTCTTTGTTTTGAGTCTTCTGTTTCAGCTCTCTGATCTCATCCTTCAAAGAACTGATGGCCTGGGAACGGATTACAGGAATAAGCCAACAAAAGATAAGATACATGACCAGAATAGCAAAATAAGTGTATGAGGGAGTCTGTGTGGGTTTGTACCTGGTTAGAGGTGCTAAGTCTAGAATCTCGCTCCTCCAGTTTCTTGTTCAGGCCCCCCAGGTTCTTACGCAGAGCACAATTCGCCTCCACCTGTTCTGATAGCTTCTTAGCTGCCTCAGTCTCCCTCTCCTCCAACTTCTTAATTCGTCCCAAGAGTTCCTGGTTCCGGTCAACCTCATGCTTTAACACAGTACACAGCATAAATGAGTACACCCCCTCTGAACATAAAGAAATCTTTGAATTTCCTAAATGATCAACATTCCAATCCATAAGAAGGTGAAAAAAATGTAATGTATTAAACATATATATAACAACAACATAGAAAGATATGTCATCAATATCTAAGAAATAAGTAAATTAGGCAGCTTTGCTTAAATCTAGGATTGCAAAGATGAGTACACCCTCGTATTATTTTAGTACTTAGTATGTCCTGCCTTGATTTTAAGAACTGCACTGACCCTTCTTGGCATCGAGCACACAAGTTCACAACATATTGTCCTGTCTGTCCTGTCCCACTCCTGGTGGATGACCTCCTTGAGAGCCTTGATGTGCTGCTCCACTTGTTGCCTTGGCAAAGGCTAAACAGGCTTTTTTGTGCTTTGGTTTCCGTCCTTTTTGAATTTCTGTATCACTTTTGCTTTTGTGTTTTGCCTTAATAACAATGATTTGCTAATCCTCTTGTACCCTTGCCCTTTTCTGTGCAATGAAATGATTCTGTTTCTCAAGTCTCCAGACAATTCTCTCCCACGTGGCGCCATTTTTGTCAGCATTAAGTCTGAGAAAAATGCAGGGGGTTAGATACCACTTTAATTGTCAATCAATTACACCTGTTTGAGTGGGACGGTTCAACAGAATCATCTTGTGAGTCTGGTGCCCTTAACGAGTACCAAATATATATCTTTTTAAGTCTTATTTTGTAACTTTCAGGAGGGTGTACTCATTTTTGCAACAGAAATAATCATCACCATGTACTCTTCTCTATTATGTGAACATGCAACAATGTGTGACCTGTACCTCCAAGTCTCGTGCGCTGTCAGAAGCAACCTTCTCTAGTTCAAATCGAGCTCGCTTGTGACTCAGCTCCATCTGCTTCTTCTCCTGGTCCAACTGAAGGTAGCGATTCTTTGAGTGAACCCTGTCTGCTGCTTCCAACAGCTATAAAGGGAAAACAAGTTAGTCAGTGCAAAGGTTGCAAGTCAATACTTCATTTACACAGTCTACTGATGCTGTCAGTTTCTGTATACCTCCATACTGCGTTTGTACTGTGTCTGCAGGTTTCCACTCCCTGCTGAGTGATCTGACGGCCGCTGTGGATGTTCAGGGCGGCTGATGAACGAATTGAAGGACTTCAGGGTTGTTAACACGGTAGTGTCGTCCTCTAAATCCATTCTGAGAGTCCCTGGTGTTGCAGTGCACAAATGAAGTTTCACAGTAAGACAAAGAGCCAGTAAAGCTTTACTACAGTGATGCAAACAGCACAGTTTAGATATATCACTTGCTAATATTCAGTCAGAAGGAACAACAATAAGCGTGAGTTTAGTAAGTTAAATGACTAAGACAGCTACAGAGACAGACTTATTCAAGCCAATGGGGAAGTTGCAAATTGCATAACGCTTTATGTCAAATGTCATATGATGAGTTGAACCAGGACAGATTCACCGGATTTACGTTACAGAACGCCAAACGGCCAGAAGTTCTCTCTAACTACGAGATAGCTACTGCTAATCTAGCAGCTAAAAACAAAAGCTAATATTTAGTCGCTTTGTTGCTACAAATAACTCAATTTTTCGTATATGTCTCTGTGTTTAGCCTTTTTAACTGTTGTTCAGTGCTGCTGTAAAACTGAGTTACATGCAAAGGATGAGTTCAATTTAACTGTGAGCGTTAGTTTCTGCAGCGACTCGAAGGTTGATATTGATATCAAGCTAATGCTATTTAAAAACCAACTGGTCTTTGTGTTGTTGCAGTTTCGCTTGGTAGCAGTCCTCACCTCAGAGCTGACTTGTTTGTGAAGAGGAGCAGGTTAGTTTGAGATAAGTTATCTTTGCTCTGCTAGCTTGTTAGCTTGGCTTGGTCGCAACAGTGTACACACACAGAAATCCCTCCACTTTATCTCGAATGAGATGCGTGTGTTATCGCGAAACTTCCTCGAATATCGCGAGAGTGTCAGAAGCAGACTGTTGCTGCTGGTTGAGTATTGGAGCTGCACTGTGGGTTGTTTTACAAAACTAAACACACGTTTCTACGATAGTGAATGAATAAAATTATTTCACTTAAATGTCAATAGTGAACCTCAGACATCCTAGTATATTAATCAATGTGCATCACGTTTTCCATCAATCTCGTACTTGTATGTACTTTGAGTGGAACTTCATTGACATCAAAATTTGTAGTTGCATAGTTTGTCCCACAGAGAGCAGCACTGCTATATTCACCAGTCTATGATGAAGTGGAGGATACATAAGAGGGCTGCTCAGACATTTAGCCCAAAAGCATAATTCCATCTTAAATCTTTTTTGTATTTTTTTCATAAATATTTAAGATGTGGGGGCAGGCTTACTAGCCAAAAGCCAGTCTGCGATTGGCTCTTCATTATTAAAAAGCACATGCTATTATTAAATGTGAAGAAGCAGATATGGATGTTGTACCCACCATAGCAGACTGATCTGGCACTGATAACATTCATTTGGCTTGAGCATGAAGCAAATGGCCCCAGGTGTGGCACTGACGGCAGTTTTAAAGATCGCAAACAAGGTTAGGGTTGATTGTTGACATCAGTATTGCCACAGGTGACATGAAATAAAACCATTTGGACCACGATGCTGTAGCCAGAAGAATTGAAATCCATGTTTAATTGACTGGCACTGAACTGCTGAACTTGATTTACATGACATTTACATTTATTAATCCGGCAGATGCTTTTATACCAAGAGACTTACAAGTGAATGTGATTTAGCGACACGCCGCCAATGTTACTAAACCTTGTAACAAACAATGACTCTTATGTATTGAGTTTGCTTCTGCATAAATACTTCATTGTGTCCTATGCGGAAAGTCATCCTCTGTATTTGACAGCCTCAGCTTAGCGCCCAAGGACCAACTCTAGTTCTGTGACAAGTGACATGGTCTTATAACAATGGCCAGACTATTCCTCATACCTGAAGTGCATTTCTATCTTTTGACCTGAAAGGAAGAAGATTCTGAGGAAACATAGAAACACAGCAAAAGAAGAGGCTCTGGAAGGACCAAAGCCTCACCTGTAAGATGAGAGTGCCAAACACTGAGCCGTTGTGCCACCCAAATAAACAGAGAAAACACAGAGTAGACATGACATCCAGCAAGATTGGGGTATGTTTTTCTTGTTTTTGCCTAGAGTTTTAATTGTCCGTCTCTGTCTCTTCTTGGCCATGAGCTGATGTCCTCTGAACCAAGTCACAGCAACAGTCAAATTAGGTGTGATTACTAATTTACCACAAGAAGTTCCCAGTGGAGAGTGGCAGCACGAGAGGTCAGAGCATTTGCCCTTGCTCACCAACACTTATGTGAGAAAAGAGGCGGAAAACATGAAATAAAAGCTAGAGGGAGTCACGAGGGGAGATTTTTTTTTTTAATGGTTAGGTGAGATCCAAGAGGGAGAGGGTGGAGGGGTGTGAATTCGTCTGAAAAGGTCAGAAAGAAGACATGTCCTCTCCAGAATGACACAAGAGACCCCTTTCTCTCTGTCACTGTCTCTTTCTGTCTAATCCTTTCACCCCCAAGAGTAATCTGCCTGTTTCAGTCCACTGTCCTCATCACTTCCCCTGCCCCTCCCCTCTTGTCTCCTTTTCTTGGACCTCCCTATGTCCCTTTGCTTACTGGCTAATAACACTTTTTTCCTCACTGTCTTTCTTTATCTGTCATAGTGTGACTCAGTCAACCCCACCCCCCCCCCCCCCAAACCTCCACCTCTCGTGGGTATTCTGTGGCTCTCTTTGCCGTCTCCACCTGCCCTCGCCCTCCTGAGGGCAGCCTGAATGCAGTGATCTCTGGAAGATGACGTAAACACACACACACACAAAACGCATACACATGTAGACACACACACACACACACACACACACACACACACACACACAGTGTACAGAAGTAAATCAGCAGAAGTGCCTGCAGATGTGCCCTTCAATGCCATCTGTTGTGAAAAATGTAAAAGCAGTTCACAGGAAGCCGTCAAACATTCAGTGGCTTTTCCACTTAAAGAACGTAAACATCACCACAAACATAAATCCTCCGGTTTTATATATATTATAATAAAGGGTTAGGCAGCTGGCATCAAAATCCACAATATATGTTGTTAGTTTGTCTTGTTGGCAGCAACGCCGACCTTAACGTATTAACAATTAACTGCAGGATGGTGTGGACTAATAATTGTGATTCAGATAGATATAAAAAGGCTTATGGCATCAAAGGTCATCTGAGGCAGTGTGTTAAAGTCATTAAACCCACAGAACACGTAATTACTGCAGACTATTAAGCTTTTTTACACATTTTCTCATCACTTCAGTGCATTTGAATAGTCTTTTTCTTTATTTCCAGACTAGGCTCGCGTTCATGTCTCCTAATTGTCGATTCACATTTATTCTTGATTTTTGAGTGATAGACGTCGTCGTGATGCGGAACATACCCCTCCTGGGGGACGGCTGTGCGAGGGGCCCCGAAACAGAAATTAAGTCAGTCAAATCATTCACTCACAATAGACAGAGAAAGGTCACTTCAAGGTCAACCAGACACAAGGTGCTGCATCAGTAACTATTGTAAACACAGAGAAGGGACAGGGACAATAAGGAGAAAAAAGGATATTAAATAGATAAAAGAGAGCAGAAGGTGAGGACAGACAAATGAGAATTCGTTGTCATCATGGGTCCATAAAACGGAAGGCATGGAAGGATGGGAAAAAAGGAAGCGAGACGTGGGAGGTAAAATAGAGAAGAAAATTGGGGAAAAAAATGGGGAGAGACTGGAAGAAAACAATGTTAGAGATCAAACGAGGCAAAGGTTAAAGAGAGGAATCAATAAAGTAGTGATTTTATACTCTTCTAATGAAGGAGGACAGAGTCAATAGCTGATTCAGCCTTCCAGTGCTCCTCTGCCCCGGGGAATACTTTAACAATATTAGTTTATGGGCGACGTGCACACTCATGCGCACATACATATACACAGGGGGAGTGAGACAGACAGACGCAAGGCCACCTGATGATGCATGAAAAAGCCACTATCAGGGAAGAAAGGAAAAATAAATTATGCTTACTAATTAATGAAATAAGCAAAATCGGTGGAGCAAGCAAGGCAGGGAGGAAACGTGCGTGTGCCACATGTTTTTATTAATTGTTTCCCCCCTTGGTGTTTCCCAACAGTCCACAGGGCAACCCTCGAGAGCAGAAACACTGTCGGCACAGAGGGCATCTCAAAACTGTTAGCTTTTTTCTGCATTGTCCTAAATGTAACGAGTAATACACAGTCATTCTAGAGAAGTGTGTGTCTTATAAGATCGTGTGTATTCTACATTCTATTTCCATGAAGTGCTTTCACTCACCTGTCTTGCGATCAATAATCCACCCGACAGCATTCCATTGGGAATCACTTGCTATGTTATGAAAGATGGGAGTTGTGTGTTTGTGTGTGTAGTTGTATGTGTGTAGTTATCTGTCCGCTTATGTGAGCTGGGATGGGACCAATTGCAGATGTGTTTTATCTGCAGGGTGGCTTGATTGGCATGGGACAATAAGAAGCATCAAAGCATTAGTGCAGGTGAGTCAGGTGAATGGAAGGAGAATAAAGACACGCACACACACACACACACACACAAGCACAAGCACTGGGAGGAGAAGTAGTGAGGTGTGATGGTGGTGCTAACAAGGTGGGATGGAGGGAAAAGACAGAGGTGGTGGAGAGGGGCAGAAGGGGCGGAGGAGCTGTGGAGGTAATAAAATTGACGGAAGTGGCAAAGGCTGAGAGAAAACTGTGGAAAAGAAGAGCTACAACACACAGCCAGAAAAGCAGCATTACCGAATTCATTCCATATGGAGTGATATGTGTTGCAAATGTTGTATGCTGACACTGCAGTTCCACTCATACTGGATTCTAAAAGGCTGATATGAATGCCAATATCTACAGAATCAATAATGGATGATGTGCTCATCAGTAACCCCAGGGTAAAGAAATTCTTTAGGGTTAGGTAGCACCTAACTTCCTCAAGTTTCAGTGTCTTATTACTGAAACAATATTTTTTCACCAGTACTTATAGAAGGTACATACAAGTTAGTAAAAAAAATGATAAAGTTGTGCAATTAAGTGCACAAAGTTATTTAGAAAGAATTCGGGCAAAACTTTTTACAGACTATCAAAGGCTAAAGAGAAGCAACAAGAATTTCTAAGGGGCTATGTTATGGTAACTAAGCACACACACATTTCTGAATGAAACATGAGGAAATCAAAATGTTGTTACAAACCCACAGACAACCAAAAGTCCTCAGACTGACAAATCCTGCAATATAACAGCACATATCTGTATAGTTTAAGGTTTTGTTTGGTGTAACCAGAAGTCAAGGCTGATATTATTCCAACCCTAGCAGAGTGCATCTTGTATTAGACTCGTCGTTTTACTACATGATGTAATACACTGATACAACATGAGATACACCGCAGTAAATCTCTGCTTCATGTGATTTATTCTCCTCTCCTCTGCTGCACCGTGCAGCTTTGTACTGAATATTAATGCTACTGCACTTAAAACACGAACTTGCCAGGACTACCCTTGGTAATCAGTGAAGCCTCAAAAATTGCTTCTGCTGTGTTCTGTGATCTGTGTGACACTACATAGGAAATTACTCTTTCGTCCATGACCTTTGCAGATGTAATAGCTTTGGTCGGATTATGTGCAAGTCAGATAGAGGCGAACATCTCTCAGGGTCTCACAACAGGGAAGAGCATGGAGTCGACGTGGGAGGGACCAGCTTCTATAGAAGTGAGGCCCCTCATACCTCAGGCAGTCAGTTTCATCAATCAACACTTTTACCCTATTGATTTTCTCTTT